GTGTGTGCATGTGTGGAGGGGTGTGTGTGTGTGCATGTGTGTGCATGTGTGGAGGGGTATGTGTGTGTGTGTGCATGTGTGTGTGCATGTGTGGAGGGGTATGTGTGTGTGCATCTGTGTGTATGCATGTGTTTGTGTGTGGTGGCTTGTGCATGCATATGTGTATCTGTGGGAGATGTGCGTGTGTATGGTGTGCATGCATGCATGCATATGTATATGTGCGTATATGTGTGTGTGTACATGTGCATGGGCATGGGGCGTGCACGTGGGAGTGTGTGCATGCATTTATGTGTATTGTGTAGCATTCATGTATGTGTATGTATGTGTGTGTTTTTGTGTGTGTGCATGTCAGTGGGGTGGAGTGTGCATGTGGGGTGTGTGCATGCATGTTTGTGTATTATGTGGTATTCATGTATGTGTATGTGTGTTGTGTATTGTGTATGTGTGTGTTTGTGTGTGTGCATGTGAGTGGGGTGAGTGTGCATGTGGGTATGTGCATGCTTGTGTGTGCATGTGTGTGGTATTCATGTATGTGGTTGTGTGTTGTGTGTTGTGTATGTGTTTGTGTGTGGGCACGTGACTGGGGTGTGCATGCATGTGAGTGCATGTGTATGGTATGTGTGGTATGCCTGCCTGGCGTGCATGTGTGGGGGATGTGCATGTGTGGGTGCATGTGTATGCTGTGCTTGCATGCATGTGTATGTGTGTGCATGCATGTGGTGGGTATATGTGCTCATGTGTGTGATAGATGTACATGTATATGCATGTGTGTGGTGTGTGGTGTGCATGCCTTTATGTGTGCGTTTGCATGTGTGTGCATGTGCATCAGGTGGGGTGTACATGCGTGTGTGGTGTGCATGTGTCTGTGTGCACGTGGCTGTGCATGCATGTGGTATAGGGAGGAAGCTAGAGTCTGGGGGTGTCCATCCCTTCTAGGGGGCTCTTCATAGCAGGGTGGGAGATGGACCCACAGAGAAGAACCAGGAAGAGAAAATTGGCTGAGACACCCCAGGGCCACCTGGGAAGGCCAGGGCAGCCTGGGTGGCCAGGGCTGTTTCAGAACTGGATAGTCTCTGGCCAGCAAGCAGAGCCCTTCCTGAGCTGGTGCTGGGAAGTGGATACAGAAGAATGGAGAGTTTTCTTCTGGGCTTGTGACTGGGTGCAGTGGGTGTCCAGGCCTGATATGGACAGGGCCCTGGGGAGGGGATGGGGCTGCTGGGCCTGCCATCAGGGGACTGTTGGCCAATCCACAGAAGAGTCGACCAAAGCAGGCTCAAGGGGCTCAGGCAGCTTTGCCAGCAGCCAGAGGGCCACCGATGTGATGCCACAGCCTCACATACCTTCCACCTTGTGTGTTCTTGGTATGGGGGAAAACATGCGTTCTCTGCGCTGGCTGTGTGTGGATGCGTGCCGGGCCGTGTGGGGGCGTCTGTGAGTGTGCACTCACTCACTCATGCCTTTCTGCCCCTGCCAGCCTGGGCCCGAGGGTATCACAAGCCCCAGGGGCTGCTCTGTCCTCTCCTGGGCAGCCTGCAACCACGTGCCTGTGCCCTGAATGAGGCCATTCTTGCATTGCTATAAAGAAACACCTGAGGCTGGTAAGTTTTCTTATTTTGAGTCAGAGTCCTGCTCTGTTGCCAGGCTGGAGTGCAATGACATGATCTCAGCTCACTGCAACCTCCGCCTCCGAGTACAAGCGATTCTCCTGCCTCAGCCTCCCGAGTAGCTGGGATTACAGGCACGCACCAACGTGCCTAGCTAACTTTTGTGTTTTTAGTAGAGATGGGGTTTCACCATGTTGGCCAGGATGGTCTTGATCTTCTGACCTCATTTACCTGCCTGCCTTGGCCTCCCAAAGTGCTGGGATTACGGGCGTGAGCCACCGCGCCCGGCCTGCCAGGCACTTTTCAACAACCAGATCTTGCAAGAACTCACTCGTAAGTAATGTCGAAGATAGCACCAGGTCATGGGACCCACCCCCATGACCCCTTCACCTCCACCAGGCCCCACCCTAGCCCTGGGGATCTCAGTTCAACATGAGGTCTGGGCGGGGACAAATATCCAGACCACATCAGCCCCATCCGCTCGAGGATGAAAGCTTCCTGGATGTCCAGGTGGCAGAGGAGGTCACAACCCCTACCATGACTTTCTTGTGACCCTGAGGGGACCATTGGGGGCCTCTGCCAAGGAGGACTGGGGGACACAGTGGGACGCAGCCATGTCCACCCCGCCTTCTCCCATGGGAGGACCCTGGCTGCAGGAGAACCCCAGGCCTCCTGCTGTACCCGGCGAGGGGGCCCCCGGAGCTCCCTTCTCCCTCCTGCTGGCTGAAGGCCTCCAGGGGAGAGAGAAGGTCAGAGCCAAGGAAAGGTGGGTCTCAGAAGCAGAGACGTGGAGGGGCCTTCCCCAGGGCACGCGCAGCCCCCAGAGGCCAAGCTGAGGCTGGGGTTCCCGAAGCACAGGCGTCTCCTAGATCTGTCAGAGCCTCACTCAGCAGCAGGCCGGGCTCTTTCCTGGCGGGCTCCCTGCTGGTTCCCCAGCACAGACTGCAATGCTTAGCAAACAGCAGGCGCTCCGTTCCTTACTGTGTCGGAGGGTAGGTCCAAAGTGAGTGCCTGTCTTTTCTTATTTTTATTTTTTGAGACAGGTTCTCACTCTGTTGCCCAGGCTGGAGTGCAGTGGTGTAATCACAGCTCACTGCAGCCTCGAACACCTGAACTCAAGCGCTCTTCCTGCCTCAACCTCCTGAGTAGCTGGGATCACAGGCGCCCTGAGTGCCTTTTATCAATGGAAGCAGGGCCTGACCAGGCCCAATACCTCTCACCCACCCCCCAGGACACAGCGCATTCTCTCATCCCAGCTGTGGAAGCCTGGCTGGGGACCCAGCCTCTGCAAAGCCACCACTCATGTCCATCCCTCTGGTCCTGGCTGCCTGAGCTTCCTCCTAAGTTCCAGCCCTCCCTCACACCCTTCTGCACAAGCAACGCCACTCCCCCCTTAGCCTCCATTTCCCCATTTGGGGAAGAAAGAAGCTGAGTACAAGGACCCGGGCAGCTCCAGACACCCTGCAGCCCTCCAAGCTGGGGGCGGGGGCATTTGGGGCACTGGGGCTGGCCCTGGGGAGGCGGCGCTGGAGGCCACTGGTCTTCAGAAGATTCCAGAACAGGCAGCCATATCTCTGGGGTGTGCAAGTGCCAGTGCTTGCAGTGAAGGAGGAAAACGGAAAGAAGCCGGGCAGAGGTGGGTGGTGTGTGGGCGGAGCCACACCTGGGTCTGCACCCTGGGCTGTCTGGACAGCAGAAGGACGTGGCTGTCTGGTTTTACCTGCCTTTGTTCAGTCATGTGACTATTTTGAGATCCTTCGTGCTATTTTTCTAATTGTTCCTAAATTGAATGCTGTTATGGACCTGCCACTGTTTTTTAGGCATCCCTGTTGACGGACATTGGGATACTTCCAGTTTGGGGCTTGTGTGAACATTTGCTTATGAGTCTGCGCAGACACGGCTTTCCAATGGGGCAAACCTAGCTGCTAATGGCTGGTGAATGCTTGCCCTTGAAGACGGTGCCAAAGTGCCTCCCAAGGGGCCCACACCTTCCACTCCCTCCAGCCTCCCAAGGGGCCCGCACCTTCCCCTCCCTCCAGCCGAGAACAAGGGTCAAGGTCTGCCTTCTCCACATCCTTGCCAATACTTGCTACTCTCCAACTCTTGGATTCAGCCGTCCCAGTATGTGTGGGGCAGCCCCTCACTGGGTTTCAATTTGCACATTCCCAAGGTGGGTGATATTGACCATCTTTCCAGGTGCACGCTGGCCTGGTGCCATATTTTTTTTTTCTTTTGAGACGGAGTTTCACTCTTGTTGTCCAGGCTGGAGTACAGTGGCGTGATCTGGGCTCACTGCAACCTCTGCCTCCCGGTTTCAAGAGATTCTCTTGCCTCAGCCTCCCAAGTAGCTAAGATTACAGGTGTCTGCCACCACGCCCCGCTAATTTTTGTATTTTTAGTAAAGACTGGGTTTTACCATGTTGGCCAGGCTAGTCTCAAACTCCTGACCTTGTTATCCGCCCACCTCGGCCTCCCAAAGTGCTAGGATTACAGGCGTGAGCCACTGTGCCCAGTCCTTTTTTTTTTTTTCTTAAAGACGGTGTCTGCTCTGTTGCTGAGGCTGGAATGCGATCATAGTTCACTGCAGCCTCAAGCTCCTGGGCTCTAGTGATCCTCCCATCTCAGCCTCCTGAATAGCTGGGACTACGGGTGCACACCACTACACCTTGCTAATTTTTAAAATCTTTTGTAGAGATGGGGTCTGGCTACACTGCCAAGGCTCATCTCAGACTCCTGGGTTCAAGCAATCCTCCCACCTCAGCCTCCCAAAGGGCTGGGATTACAGGTGTGAGCCACCACGCCCAGCTGTTTTTTTAAAAGGGCTGGAGTGCAGTGGTGTGATTGTCGCTCACTGCAGCCTCCACTTCCTGGGTTCAAGCAATCCTCCCGCCTCAGCCTCCCACGTAGCTGGGGCCACACCCAGTTCATGTTTTTAGTTTTTGAAGAGATGGGGTCTTGCTATGTTGAAAAGGCTGTCCTGCTCTCAAGCAGTCCTACCGCGTCCTCCCAAAGTACCGAGATTACAGGCATGAGCCACTGTACCTAGCCAAAGTTGATTGTTAAAAAGGGCCTGGTGCCAACCTCCCCTGTCTCTGGCTTCTTCTGTCGCCATGTCATCTCTTGCACACACTGGTTCCCCTTCACCTCCCCTTCCCCTTCTGCCACGAGTAAAAACAGGCTGAGGCCTTTGCCAGAGGCAGCTGCTGGAGTCACCTGCTGCTGGAGCCACCTTCTGCGTAGCCTGCAGATCCTGAAGCAAGTCAGCCGCTTTGCCTTATGCACCACGCAGCCTCTGGAGCTCCTTTATAGCAATGCAAATTGGCTCGGACCCCGCCCTCCCCAAGTCTGTCCTTGGAGCTGAGCCCTGCTAATGCTGTGTCTCTCCTCTCTCTGCAGCTACCCGGGAGTCAGCCTTTGTCCACGCCATTGCCTCAGCCGGTGTGGCCTTCGCGGTGACACGCTCGTGTGCAGAGGGCACGGCCGCCATCTGTGGCTGCAGCAGCCGCCACCAGGGCTCACCAGGCAAGGACTGGAAGTGGGGTGGCTGCAGCGAGGACATCGAATTTGGTGGGATGGTGTCTCGGGAGTTCGCCGACGCCCGGGAGAACCGGCCAGATGCCCGCTCAGCCATGAACCGCCACAACAACGAGGCTGGGCGCCAGGTAGGTTCACGGCCCACAGGGGTGTGGGGAAGGAGGCGCCTCCTCAGCAGGGCATGTACCCTGGTTCCTTGGGGCATGTGGCCTGGTGAGGCAGGATGGTGGCCAGGCCAAGGGTCTGCTGGACTCTTGCCTGGGTGTGTAACGCTTTGCACCAGCCAGCTGCACAAAGCGTCCAGTGCGCTCCTGGGGATGGTGAGCCCACCTGTGGACTGGGGTGGCCAAGCAGGAGGGACAGGCGAAGGCCTGGTCCACAGGAGCCCCTCACAGCCCAGGAGGGAGACTGCCAGGCAGCCACTTCCTCATTGTGAGGGCAGCTCTGCAATGAGGAAGTGCGGGCACTCAGGTGACCCGAGGCCAAGGACAGCTGGCAGTTATTTAGAAGGAGGGAGGCTGGGAGAACCTCCCAGGCAGCCTGGAGGTGAGAGAAAGCAAGTGACTTGGTCTGGGCACAGTATGGCGTGCAGTGGAACAAACAGCGTCTTGCTGTGGAGAGGCCAACCCAGAGCAAGCTGTGTGAAGCTCCGAGAGCCTGTGTCTTGGTCAGTCTGTGCCGTTACAACAAAATACCTTAGACAGGATAATTTATAAGCAACGGAAGTTTAATATCACAGTTCTGGAGCCTGGGAAGTCCAAGGTCATGGCACCAGCACATTCCTTGTCCAGCGAGGGCCTGCTCCTCATGGATGATGCTTTCTGTGTCCTTACTCGGCAGGAGGGTGCAGCTCTCTCTCGGGTTCCTTTTTTTTTTTGAGATGGAGTCTCGCTCTGTCACCCAGGCTGGAGTGCAGTGGTATGATCTCAGCTCACTGCAACCTCCGCCTCCCTGGTTCAAGTGGTTCTCCTGCCTCAGCCTCCCAAGTAGCTGGGATTACAGGTGTGCACCACCATGCCCAGCTAATTTTTGTATTTTTAGTATAGACGACATTTTACCATGTTGGTCAGGCTGGTCTCAAACTCCTGACCCCGTGATCCACCTGATTCAGCCTCCCAAAGTGCCAGGATTACAGGGGTGTGCCACTGCGCCTGCCCAAATCTGGGGTTACTTTTAGGAGGGCATTGTTTTAGGCCATTCTTGCACAGCTATAAAGAAATGCCTGGGGCCAGGTGATTTATAAAGAAGAGAGGTTTACTGGCCCACGGGTCTGCCGGCTGCACAGCATGGCACCAGCATCTGCTCAGCTTCCTGGGAGACCTCAGGGAGATTACACACGTGGCAGAAGATGCAGCGGTGGCAGGCACGTCACACAGGCCAGAGCAGGAGCAAGAGAGAGTGGCAGAGACGTCGCCACACAGACCTTGTGTGAATGCACTCGCTACGGTGAGGACAGCACCAAGCCACTCGTGAGGGACCTGCCCCCATGACCCAAACACCTCCTCCCGGGTCCCAGGCCCAGCACTGGGGATTCCACCTCAGCATGACATTTGAAGGGGACACAGACCCAAACCATGTCAGCACTAATCCCACTCATGACGCTCCACCTGCACTTGACCAGATCCTAAAGGCCCTACCTCTTAATGCTGTCACCTTGAGGGTAAAGATTTCTGTTTGTGAGGAGTGGGACCAGAGCCTCGCTGGAGTACAGTGGCCCTATCTCAGCTCACTGCAGCCTCCACCTCCTGTGTTCAAGTGATTTTCCTGCCTCAGCCTTCTGAGTAGCTGGGACTATAGGTACATGCCACCATACCCAGCTAATTTTTTTTTTTTTTTTTTGCTACGGAGTCTCTCTCTGTTGCCCAGGCTAGAGTACAATGGCACGATCTTTGTTCACTGCAACCTCTGCCTCCTGGATTCTAGCGATTCTCCTGCCTCAGTCTCCTGAGTAGCTGGAATTACATGCATGCACCACCATGCACAGCTAATTTTGTATTTTTAGTAGAGATAGGGTTTCACCATGTTGACCAGGCTGGTCTCGAACTCCTGACCTCGTGATCCACCCACCTCTGCCTCCCAAAGTGCTGGGATTACAGGTGAGCCTGTAATTTCCTAGGTAAAGATTTTAATCCATGAATTTTTGAGGAACACAAACATTCAGACCACAGCAGCTTGCTAAAAAGGACTTGGTCAGAAGGTCGGTGGATGACTGAGGAAGGGAAGATGGCTGACAGGCAGTGACGGATGGAAGGACCAAGAGGCTTCCATGTTGGATTTAGCAACATAGCAACATGAAGATGGCAGCTGCCCTTGACTGTAGAATCAGGGGATCATAGAGGGGTGAAGACTGGGCAGGGGATATTCACCTTTCAACAGTGAGGAATTCAATAACTCAGACGAATCTTCCTGCAGAAGACAACTTCAGAGGCAGATGAGCTATAGGAAACGCCCTGTGAAAAGTGTGGAGCCCCCACATATATACAATTGCCTGGTTCACGACACATGAGGCAGTGGGGTGCCATGGGAGAAAGGGGCTCTTCAGTAAATGGTGCTCAGTCAACTGGGTGGTGCTGTGGTCTGCATGTGTCTCCCAAAATTCCTATGTTGTAACTTGATCCCCGGGGCAACAGTCAGGAGAGGTGGGACCTAATGGGAAGTGTTTAGGCCATGAGGGTCTTGCCCTCATGAAGGGAGCAATGCTGCTGTAAAAGGACTTGCAGAATAGGGTGTTCTCTCTCTCTTTCTGTCTCTCTCTTGTCTTCCTGCCATATGAGGACGTGATGTTCCTCCCTTCTGAAGGACATGGCATTCATTCAGGGTGCCATCTTGGAAGCAGATAAACTAAGCCCTAACCTGCCAGCACCTTGATCTTAGATTTCCCAGCCCCCCAAACCATGAAAGAATACATTTATGAATTACTCAGTCTCAAGTATTCTGTGGTAGCAATACAGAATTGACTAAGACAGATAGCAACATGAAAAAAAATTAAACCAGGCTTGTACCTCATACCATCTGTATAAATCAATTACAAATCCCACTGGGAAACGTAAAACAATAAGACTTTTACTACTCTAAGGTCATTTTATATAAGAAAATATAAAATATTTTTGCCACCTTAGAGTAGGCAGTGGTGTCTTAAACAGTCCAAAAAAGTACTCACATTGAAAGAGAAGTGGAATAACATAGACTATATTCAAATTAAGAACTTTCATTCATAAAAAGACACTACTATGGGACTGAAAAGGCACCCAATAGAGGAGGACACATTCACACACGTATGTCCACACTCACGTATGCGGCAAATGCAGAGAAGCCACAGTAGAAAAGGAACTCTGCAGACTAAGAAAAAGACAAACAGCATAACAGGAAAAGTGGTCCAAAAATTAAAAACCATGTTCTGAAAGAAAATAGAGGAATGTCAGTGTCTATACTAAAAGTGCTGAGTGTTATGAGCCATCAAGAAAATGCTGTGGGAATCTATGTCCCCGAAAGGGAGAGAGGGGCTCGGAGGCACTGATGTTCTGGGGCACGTAATTTGTATGATTTGGTATATTTTGCACTTATGACACATATACTTTTTTGTATGTCTATTATACTTCCATAAAATGATTTTTTTTTTCAGGCAGAGTCTCGCTCTGTCACCCAAGCTGTAGTGCAGTAGCACAATCTCGGCTCACTGCAACCTCTGCCTCCTGGGTTCAAGCGATTCTTCTGCCTACGCCTCCCAAGTAGCTGGGACTACAGGCGCCCACCACCACTCCCGGCTAATTTTTGTATTTTTAGTAGAGATGAGGTTTCACCATGTTGGTCAGGCTGGTCTCGAACTCCTGACCTTGTGATCTGCCTGCCTCGATCTCCCAAAGTGCTGCTTTACAAGCATGAGCCACTGCGCCTGGCCCATAAAATGATTTTTAAGTGTCAAATAACTGACTGTGTAGTGAGGAATTAGCAGCCCCTGATCCAAGAGAAGGTCCCAAGCATGGTACCTGGGGTAGCTTCTGTCTAGGGACCATTTGCTGACCTGGAAGAAACTGCAGAGGTTGCACTGCATTTCCAGCAGACCCACAGAGCTAAGGGGCCCACCAAGGGTGCGATCTCTGGTAAATCCTTTCTCAGCGTAGGCTACGACCCTGAAGAGCAAAGCCAAGCCACTACCCAACTCCTTGTAGGCAGGCAGCAGCCTCATCCTTCCCTGTGGCTGAAGCCTGGAAGTTCGTTTTCTGCAAAGGCAGAGGTCTGTGATCTGAGGGATGCCAAGTACATCTTGAGAGTGATGCTTCCAAAGTGAAAAGTTTCTCCCTAAATATGGAAGTTCATGCCTTTATCTCTCCTCCTGATTTCCTAAAGCTAGCTGTGAACCCTAGTTATCCTCCAGGCAAGAGGATGGAAGATTCTGCCCTGGGGACTTGGACCAACACAAAAGAGGAGACTTTAAGATAGTGACTTGTGGAGGGTCCCAATAAAGCAATGCAGCTAGATCACACTATACGGAGGACCAAAGCTGACAAGTCTCTCCCATGTTCAGGAACTTCCAACAAGAATTTTAGTGTCCCATTTTTAAATCTGAGCAGACAGCCAAGGATCACCAGACCTCTGAGGAAGGCCTCTAACAACAACAATGGTAAAGTCCAAAACAAACTCAAACAACTTTATGGGAAAGAGACACCGTAAAGAGAGATGAGCTGGGTACAGTGGCTCACACCTGTGATCCCAGCACTTCAGGAGGCCAAGATGGGCAGATCACAAGGTCAGGAGTTTGAGACCAACCTGACCAACAAGGTGAAACCCCATCTCTAATGAAAAAAAAAGAAAGAGATGAAACTTCAACAGATGGTCATTAATATACCCAAGAGATAAAACACTATATCCATAAAATTGGAACAGGATGGTAATTTTAAACATTCAGGTTACAAAGGAGCTCTTAGAAATTAAAACTATGATAACAGAAGCAAAAATCTCAAATTGAAAGACAGTTGAGACACCCTCCCACAAGATCGAGGAAAACAAAGACAAAAGAGATTAAAAATAAGAGAAAGCAGAAGATATGGAGGATCTGTCCAAGAAAGATAATGATGAACAAAAAGAGGAGGCAGTCAGCAAAGAAACGAGGCAGGAGGTTTCCCCAGAACCAGGGAGCACAGGTTTCAGACCAAGCAGGCCCATTAAGTGACGAGAACAACAAAAGATAAAGACCTACTTCAAGACACACTGTTGTGAAATTCAGAGCCTACCACACAGAGAAGCCCTCCAAGCTGCCAAGGAGAATGTTTGGGCTTTAGGATCAGGAATCAAAATAGTACCAGACTTTTCAGGAGCAATAATAAAAGCTAGAGGAAAATAGAGTAGTCCAGGCATGGTGGCTCACGCCTGTAATCCCAGCACTTTGGGAGGCTGAGGCGGGTGGATCATGAGATCAGGAGTTCAAGACCAGCCTGACCAACATGGTGAAACCCCCTCTCTACTACAGATGCAAAAAGTCAGCCAGGTGTGATGGCACGCACCTGTAATCCCAGCTACATGGGAGGCTGGGACAGGGGAATTGCTTGAACCCAGGAGGCGGAGGTTGCAGTGAGCTGAGATCATGCCATTGCACTCCAGCCTAGACAACAGGGTGAGACTCCATCTCAAAAGAAAAAAAGAAAAGAAAAGAAAATAGAGCAATATTCAGAATTCTAAGATATAAAAATGATTTTAAGCCAAGAATTCACGTCCCAGCAAAACTATCAATTAAATGGGATAGTAGAAAAGATTTGTTTTTAGACATGACATTTCATAAAATTTACAAGGCCTTTTCTGGGGGCAGGAGACAACTTGTCTGCAAGAAGATGAAATTGATAGAATAGCTGATGTGTTTGGACATCTTGAAGAGAATATTATGTAAATAAGGGAGAATTTCTGCCAGGCGCGGTGGCTCAAGCCTGTAATCCCAGCACTTTGGGAGGCCAAGGCAGGTGGATCACAAGGTCAAGAGGTCAAGACCATCCTGGTCAACATGGTGAAACCCCGTCTCTACTAAAAATACAAAAATTAGCTGGGCATGGTGGCGCGTGCCTGTAATCCCAGCTACTCAGGAGGCTGAGGCAGGAGAATTGCCTGAACCCAGGAGGTGGAGGTTGCGGTGAGCCAAGATCGCGCCATTGCACTCCAGCCTGGGTAACGAGCAAAACTCCGTCTCAAAAAAAAAAAAAAAAAAAAAAAA